TAAATATGATGTCAAACTTATGTGCAAACAGTGACTCTTTCGCTTAACCCCATTTCTTTGGGCTCTTCTATATATTCGCACCATTTTATGTCCTCGCTTCACTCAATGTCGCCTAGATCTGTGTTACTTTAAGTGGATTTAGTGAAGCATGCTCATTTTTACCACACGGTTTTAGTTACAGTTCGCGGAGCTTCTGAGTCACTGCTCCTGATTTTATTTTAGCTCCTTCCGACTCCATGCTGTAGATGAGAATGACTGTCTGGCTGTCTTAAATATGCCTGCCTATAATCCTTCAATTCCAGTCATTGTTTATGCAATGGTTAAGGATTTAAAGACTTGCGTTCTCATGCCTAATGATCATCTTCGCACTAGGTATTAGGACTAGGTATCAGTTATTTTGTCCTAATTCACAACCCATTTTCTCCTAATCTCATTAGCCCTGTCTCTGGCTTTATCCGGAATCGCTTATCTAAAAGGAAACTACTTCCATTTTTGTAGTTTATTCGCAGGACGGTGCGCCGAGGACCTATTTACATAAATCTACAACCGAAACTCCAAGAAAACCGCCCCAGCCTCCATTGGATCAAAATTACGCATCCCATCAGCTCGTCTCTTCAAATGAAATAAACGTTACTCCAACATGCTTCCCTTTTCCACTTATAGTTTTCATAAAACAAACTTTCCCAAACTCTAATGTTAATCATTTTTGAGCTTACTTCCATTTAGAGTGAAAGCGTTGGTTCTAATGATAGTCAATCCTCTGTCCTTTTAGCTCACTGTTTCTCTTCCGCACTGAGACCAAAAAAATAGGCTCATCAACAAAACAAGACGTGTCCGACCTTGCGCGATCGGAGTGATGGTTATAATTTAAATGTAGAAAAGGGGAGATGGGGGTCATCAAACCTTGATGGCAAAAACAGACGTTCCTTTTTGCTGTTTTAATTACTTTGAGCCATCACTTCGGGTTTCGTGCATAAGCGAACACAAACATGCACATACAAATACAGAGACAAACACACTCACATGCATCGAAGTTGATATATGACCTTAACTAACCAAATCACTTATATTTGATCATAGGAGCCAGATGTATAGTATATATACCACTTTTCAGGGATTTGCCAGTGAGTTTTCTTGACTCGTTAGCTTGAATTTTGTTGTGACGATAGTAGTCTCACTTAATAATAACGTTCTTGTCAGTAGTGTATACGAGCGTTAAATGAATAGCCCATGTATTTTAGGCAAATTAGCACAAATTGGACTTGTTTTTTCTCATAAAGAAGCTAGTTATCCTTCTCATTTTACCACTAATTGTTGAATAAAAGAGTACGAGAGAGACAAAGGTTTCGACATCCTTCCATAAGTGTTCGTGCGAAAGGGAGAATGTTTATAGTTTCTTGAATCCATCGATGTAAGAAGCTTCAGCATTCTAAAAAGCACACACACATGATATAAATAAACTAAAGCCTAAGCAAACGTTACCCAAACTCTAACCAATGAATGACCTTTTTCATGATTATTAATTTTTTGCTTCAATAAGCAAATATTAAATGTGTCAAAATTGCTATTTCCAGATATAAATAGAAAACCAGCCACTCAGTTTTTAATACTGTCGATCAATAATTCAAATTTTTGCGCACTTTAAATTCGAACAATGTGACAGACCAACATATTTGGTGACTAATTTTTTATGGTTAAATGGAATATAAACTACATATGAGTCAATAAATCTCGTCTGGCTAAAAAGATGTTTGCAGATAGACCTTTACCCTCCAACATAAACATTCCATTAGCTTTGCCTCTATTATCTTATTATACAATAGAATGATTGATACTACTCTCCATATGCGTTAATTCATCAATCTGATTTATTGTGTCTTAATAAGTCAGACTCAATCTAGCACCTGTAAGACTATTTACCATCCAGTATTTTACGGTTTAGTACCCAGGCGAAACTCATCTTATATCTTATTTATAAGTTTCTCTGTAGTATCGTTCATGAATTTAAACAAACTTCAACTCTTATATTTACTACAATACTGTCCTCATTATAGATTCTCTCGCTACGAGAATATGCCATAAGCCGTAATTATAATTCTAAATAGTTTTCCCGAAATGGATGCCTTCTGGTGGGGTTAAGTTTTGTCCATTAACATGAACATAGAACCTTGAGCATTATATTTTACTTAATTAAGTAGTTATTATTAGCTTGCCCTTATCTGGAGCGCCCTTGTTCAGGGCTTGGCAATAAGTGAATTAACAATTACACAAATTTGAGGCCTATCAATTAGATTTGCCGCCCCCTAATTCATATATCATCTAATTAAATCAAAATTAATTTAGATACAGCAAATTTTCAAACTGGATATTTTTATCATTTCATAAAAATTGGCTTAACTAACTTACGCATAATTGCTCTTCAATTTTGGGCAACATTGAACAATGTAAACCAAGATAAAACTCAACATTCACTAAGAAAAGATTCCGTGGCTTTGAATCACTTTTAGTGATGGGCCAGCTACTCTATAAAATGGTGAAGTAACGTTAGTTGACAGCGATAATCAACTCGTGAAATAATACGAGGTCTGGCGCAAAAAGGGGGAACAAACTTCTAAATTTAAGGTGGCAGTATAAGTTTCGAACTTAAATTCAGAAGTAATCATTTAATTTGTATTGTCTCTTTAACGGGTTGTTGTGTGGTGCTAAGAATGGCGAGACTAACTGACGATTCCGACTATGATGCCGACTACGATGCCGGCGAAACTTCGGGCAAGGTACCAGGTCCACGGTCCGACTTTGGAAATGTTTATGCGTACAATGGATTCCGGAATATGTGTGTTCCTATAAGTTTTCCTACCAATATGACTAGGTTGCGAAAACAAGGTCAAACAACCTCTATAAAACGAAAGGAGACTGCGACCAGTCATTTAGTACTAGAGTAAAGTAAAGGTTGTTTCGGGGACTTTCCGTTCGCAATAAAGCGTTAATGTGAGACTCTTACAAGAATAAAACACAGCTCTAATGATGTCCATTATATGATGCTAGAGAGACCTTCATTTCGTATGAAAGTACATAAAGTAGAGATTCGTTGGTCGATCTCACCAAATGAGGACGGATAAAACTTGTTGTACTGCAGCTGGTTGGATTTTACACGATATTAATGTTGACGCATCTACGGAAATTTCTTTCTCGTTTCGGGTGAAAACGTGCTGAGCTTTCGTCCATCATATGATGGACATCATCAGAGCTGGGTTTGATTCTTGTAAAAGGCTTTCGTTAACACTAGACGAAGAAGATTATCTGGCTCTATCTTAATGAAAGCCTTTTAAAAGAATGACACCCAGCTCTAATGACGTCCATCATATGATGAACGAAAGCTTAGCACGTTTTCATCCGAAACGAGGGAGGAAGTCCCGTGTACTGCGTTAACATGAATATCGTATAAAATCCAACCGGCTGCAGTACAACGAGTTTCATCCGTCCTCATCTGGTGAGATAAATGAATCTCTTCTTCATGCACTTTTATACAAAATAGGGGTCCCTCTAACAATTTTATCTCAGGAGATTAATCGAAACCAAGTTTTCACACGAAACGAGAGAAGAAGTCTTGTGGATGCGTCAAAATGAATATCGTATAAATAAAACATTATTCCTGTTTAAATATATATACTAATCAGAACTTTTAAGGATTATATTATGAATTAATTTTACCACAGCCGTTTGGCTTTTATACGAAGTTTAGTTTGCTGCAGAACAACGGGATTTATCTGTCCTCTTCTTGTGAGATCTACCTATGAATTAATTTTATATTCGCATTCAGTTCAGATATTATTTGCAGGAAAAAATGAAATTACAAAAAGGGCATCCTTAGGTACGAAGATTGTAATACTCAATCCTATATAAGCGTTACTCAATCAGGATCACAACTTTTGAATCGTTAATTGTGAGATAGAAGTTTGTCCCCTGTATTGATGAGTAAGAAAATTTACACTATTTTGCCCTCTCATCCCCTTCATGTCTGAATTATTCATATGCCAGGGCCCTTCCTATTTGCAAACAAACCAATCTAAAACTCATTATATCTTATCTCGTATTTCGGAATTTAAAAAAAATACGAGTGAAGTTATGTACTGAGTTTTTGCCAGCAGAATGTGAGGAATGAATCAAATAACTAAGTAAAAGCCAATCAAATAGGGCATGAATATTCAAGGGATTTAATTTATTAGGCAGGAAAGTACTTTCCAATGGATCAGACAGTT